GTAGAAAAATGCTAAAGAGACACGTTCTTTCCCTGAATTAACGATCACACGATGCTCTATGCTCTTGTATATTGCATTGCTTAGTACCTGATGCATGCAATCATTACAAAAAAAATTACACTATCAATACATAAGTTAAAGTCGTTATTATTGATGAGATTACTAGATGTTATGAATACAGACCTGAATTTGATCTCCAATATTAACAATGAAGGCATTAGGAACCGGCTTAACCGTTATCCAGTCATCACCACGACGGACTTGGAGGCCGGGGACGTCGGTGTCGGGGAGGAGAAGGGTCATGCCACCAGGATCAGAGTGGGAAGAGAGTCCAAGTGTTAGGTCAGGCTGGGGACATTTAGGGTAAAAATTAACCCTTAAACATGCACCTCTTTCATTGTCTCCACCAAATTTTGTGTGTAGATAATTTTCATTTAATCCAAGGTTAATCGACAAGATATTTGTTATTTTTCGACATAATTTCACTACTTCTTGTCCATATTCAGCAATTATTTTCCTAAGAGGTCACAAATCACAAAAAGGAAAAAAAAAAAAAAAGTCAGTTAGATGGACAAAATGTACTATATTATATTATTCTCACATTTGACATGTTTTTAAGAAGGATCGTACTTTTTTAAAAAGATACTATTAATAAGACATCAACTTGCATTTACCAACTAGCCAAGGTGGCCAGGACCACGGTCCCAAACATAAATTGGACCTGACTCATCAGTATTACGTGATTTGATTATGTAAATATATTTTTTCACATGGCTAGTACATCCACATTAAGGCCTGTTTGGGGTGAAGCTATCAAAATCAACTTATTTCAAGAAGTATCCCTTTTTTCAATTTATATAATATCATTTTCTTGTTAATCAGCTTAAAAAGAAATGTCATACTTGTGTATTTAGTAATAATTTATATATCAAAGTTTAAAAAATCTCTAAATATTTGTGACCTCTTAAAAAGGATCTTTTGTTCATTTTGCAAAGGGGTAGCTAGATATTTTGTAGTAGTAAAAAAAGACATTGTTGACACTTGAAATATCATTCTTCGTGAGAAAAATTGTTTTGATTCTCACATGTCATTTTATGCTTATGTGAGGGGCTGATTTTGATGGACATGTGTAAAAAGTTTAAAGTCTTTGAGTTTATTTGAATAGTTTTAAAATATTTTTAGAGTGTTTAAGTAAATTAAAATAAATGTTTATGAGCATTTAATTTTAAGTTAAAATGATAAAAAGAAATACGGTAAAAAATCATAAACTAAAATTTCTAACTTATGAAAGTCAATTAAAAGAACTCTTAGTAGTCCAACAATTTCTCTAAAGTTTATACTGTTATTGTTTCAATAAAAAAAGACAATAGATTTTGAGCGGAAAATAAAATTTATGGATCGTAAAAAAATTTAGAGCGAAAAGCTAATCTAATTAAAGGACTTTCTATACCATAAATTTTGATTCTACAATTTTCTTTTCATTCACAATCTAATTTCAAAATACTTTATCTTATTCAATTTATTTATTATATATTTACTTGATATGAGTTTAAAAGAAGTAAATATATCTTTCTGTAGACAAATGGAGGAAGATAAAAATGTCCAATTATTAAGAGTCTCACACAAATATTATAGTTTATGTGAGATTCATAGTAAAATTTCTCATTTTTTTTAACTTGATCCAGCATCATGTCCGGTGGTGCATGCCAAATCTTTGAAAAAGTAATCCAATCTCAGTTTTGTCGTATTTCATTTTCTTAAGATTAAATTTAAAATTGAATTGAATAAATAAATATTTTAAAATTAACTCCATCCGTTTAAAAAGAAACATATATTTTCCCTTTTAGCTTGTTCCAAAAGAAATGATTCATTTTCTTTTATGGCAACAATTTAGTTTCAGATTTTCACGTGATATGTTTAAAATTATGCGGTTAAATGATGTTTTGATATATTTGACATAAACTTTAATTTAAAATTATAAAATTGAAAAATCTTCTTTATTTTCTTAAACTCGATACAAAATAAAATTAAGTCATTCTTTTTAAAACGAAGAATTATAATATATAATTTAAATTTTAAAAAATAACAAGTATCGCGTGTAACTCTGAACAACTAAAATATTTGTCAATAGAGAATAGAAAAAGGAAATGATTAACACACCGACGCAACATGTGAGAATGTGTAAAGTCGTATATGTATCTTATTTAAAGAAAGTACGTGCGCAGACGCATTTACTTCTTTATGTAAAGTCGTATATATAAGTAGTTTTTAATTAATATTCATTCCCTTTTACGTAAGTATAAAAAAGTAAAGAAGATTACGATATATATCTCAAATAGACTTAAACATGCTATATAAAAAAGTTAAAATTAAAGAATTACGATTTACCTGCATGTAATGGGAAGGGAAGGCCATTTTTTGTCATCCCTCAAAGGCTCAGGGAGATAATGAAGGAAGAAATAATCACTCCAATCCAATTTTCCACCTTTTTCCACTCCAAGTCTGCTTCCATATCCTTCATAAGTAACCGGTGAATTCGCAAACTTCTGCTTTTCCTCTGGCGGGAGATGAAAGAACTCCTGCCAGACACCACGTGCGTTAGCCATGAGTTCATGACTAACGCCGTGGTTCACCACCTGGAAGAAACCCCATTCGCGACAAGCCTTGGAAATGAGTTCTATTGTCTCATCGCGAATGGATTCATCCAATGACTTCAAGTTTTCAAGGTTAATTAACGGAATATTATCAAGTACATGTGATGATGACGACAACGTTGTTGTCTCCTTGAAACATGGACGATCCGCTGGTCGTTTCACGTACCGGTCGGGGATTTCTCGAATGCCACTTTCCGAGAGTCCTTGAACTCGGACAATTGGCTCCGGCCAGCTTTGCAAGCAATTACTCATGTTTATTTCGTTTGTTCAGTACTCCTAACTGTTATAACTAGCGCTAGATATATTTGTAGCACTTTACAAGATAGGTTGTGGTTGTGGTTGTGATTGTATGAGGCTTAAAAGTCTTTGATTGTGGATGATAATAATGATGAAAAAGATTTTTCGAAGTTGACGTGAGCTTGAGAACGTGATTTTCATGAATTCAAAGCCATATGTATATATAGAGAGAGGAGCTAAAAAGGAGATTTTATATTATCGTGTAGACACGTAGTTTAATTTATATTTTGTGAAGATGTGGAGACATATTTATATGCACAAACAAAGAGTTTAAGTAGTGCTTATGGCGCCGTGATGATCTTGACTTGTTCTATTTGTGACTCTGTCCTCACTTACTGCCTTCCCCCCCCCCGACCCCACAACCCCCACTTCTTTCCTACATTCAGTTTTACTTGTTCATTCACTTTACTAATTATAATATAAAGATGTAAAACTATACATCAATTAATTAATATGTATATTGTGATAAAATATTTATATTAATTAATCTCTCCATCCCAAGTAGATTTCAGATTTCAAGATTCAAACAAATTTATCTTCGATTGTAAATTTTGAAGATTTTAGGCGTAAATTTCCAATCAAAAAATTTGAAGATTTCATACGCAAATTTTCGATCAAACTTAAATTGTTTGACTCTCGAAAAATGAAAAGTGTTACATAAATTGGAATAAAAAAATATTATTTATTAAAGAATATGTAAAATTCAAAATAATAAATAAAAGTGAACCTATGAAATAACTAATGTGATTTGGTCAAAATTTCTATGACTTAACATTGTAATTAAGGGAACGATTAATATGATTTGGTCAGACTTCTATAACGTAATATTGTAACTTAACTTTTGCTTAGAAAACAAATGAATACTTTAAGCACCTGTTAAATATGATCCAAATACTGAAAGTGCTTCTAGACTCTAGTACCAAGTCATGTTGATATTTTGAAAATGCATTTTGGGGTGAAATAATTAATATTTGTAAGGAAAAAATAAAAACAAAAATAATAATAATAATAATAATAATAATATTTTTAATGTACTAGTAAAACAATTTTGCAAAGAATAGAGTTTAGAACTGACCCAAAAACAAAAAGAGAAAAAAAAAAAAAACCAGAGCAAAAGGTGTATATTTTTAGCTTCGTTCTAGTATATATATAAATATAATTTGGATCATTATTAGAAAAAAAGGATCATTACTAATGCAACTATTCACCGTTCCGATCTTTATTTTATATGATTATTTATTTTACGAAAAATATTTAAAATATTTTTAACGTATTAAAATTTGTTAAAAAATATTCTCCTTCTATCTACTGGATCAATTTTCCCCAAATTTTATCTATTTGGATTAAAAAGTGTTTAAAGTTGACCCAAAAACAAAAAAAAAAAAAAAAAAAAAACCAGAGCAAAAGGTGTATATTTTTAGCTTCGTTCTAGTATATATATAAATATAATTTGGATCATTATTAGAAAAAAAGGATCATTACTAATGCAACTATTCACCGTTCCGATCTTTATTTTATATGATTATTTATTTTACGAAAAATATTTAAAATATTTTTAACGTATTAAAATTTGTTAAAAAATATTCTCCTTCTATCTACTGGATCAATTTTCCCCAAATTTTATCTATTTGGATTAAAATTAAGTCCAAAAATTCGCTTCTACTTAATTATTAGAAGCTGATGTGGAATATATACATTTTAAATTAAATATGTGAGTTGGTCTCACGTAATTAAACATTTTAAATACTTGTTTTTGGTGTTTTCCTTGGGAGAAATAGGTGATGAGAAAGAGAAACTACCTTTTTAGGAGTATGGCGGTAGTGTGAAAATTGGCATGTAAGTCTATTTGGTTAATCCTATGAGATGCCACTTCTTTTTTAGATAAAGTCTATGTAGTAATAGATATTCAACTAGTTGTTGGATCATTGTTTCAATTCCTATGTATTTTGGCCATGTTTTTATTGAATGAGACAACTAGGCAGAAATTATCAAATTTCAAAGGCCTGACTTTTTCTTGTTGAGGCCTACCGTGTGTTCTGATACTATAGTTGATGTGATCTGGCTGAAATGTTTTCCTTGTTGGCTAATTTGGCTGAGATGAGCAGCAAATCAAATGACGACGTCTCTTCTAATTTTCTTGTCAGCGACAAACTTATGAACAAGCAGAAATATGCCCTGAAATCTATTTGACTATGTTAATGTAATGTAAAATACAATTAAAACTTAAAAACATGATATAGTATAGTAGTTAAGAATCTAACTACATGTTCCTATAACCACCATTGGTTTTTCTATAGCATCCATTTACTTGTTGCTGAAAGATCGGAGATTTCTTGATGCAAACATATGCTTATTGGTTTTATTTTTCTTCACATACTATTATTATCCAATTTCTGCCAAAACGCATGCAATAATTCTCTTCTTCTCAACTCTATTGGTAATGTATTGTTTTCTCTTTCACTTCTTATTCGAGTTTTAATTTCAACCAATATTGTATTTGTCCTGCTATTGGCAAACAAATCTAACGAGTGATTATTATATAAAATCCCATTTTTTGCTGTTGGATTTTCATCCCTATTAGCGAGCTCTATGACCAACACAAAGACCCATTAATCTTCCAAAAAGTTGATGGGTTTTTGTGGACTATCCAAATTGATCTCTATTTACACCCTGGTATACATTTTCGTTTCTTAATTCTCTTTGTTTAATCGATTCTTGTTATGAAAATCTTTTAATATTGTTTCTACAGGAATTGTGTTTGAATTGATTTTTCAAGGTGGGATTTTTATTCTTTGTCTTGATCTAAAGGGAATTGATCAAAGTTTATATATTTTTTAAAAGAACTAGGTGGGTATAGTGAAGAAAAAATAGATATTCAGATCCCATTTCTGAGAAAGTTGCTTCATTTTAGGTATTGGGTTGTTAAGATTGGAGTTAAAATGAGGAAAGTTGTAATCTTTCCTATTAAAGTGTGTTATAGGACAGTTTGGAATCATCCATTCCTTGTGGGTATGTTGTGTTTCTTGGCATTTCTGTACAGATCATTTCCTTTTGTGTTTTCAATCTTGGTGTCTGTCTCCCCTATTCTTGTCTGCACTACTGCACTGCTTGGAACTTTACTAAGTTATGCTCAGCCTAATATACCTGAATTTGAATGGGAAGAAAACACAACTGATCATATAGTGCCTTTGGAAACACGAGATGCTATTCCTGTTGAGAGTGATAATAGTTGTTACTTCACCGAGAGATATAGTGATCAAGAAAGGGATAAAGTAGACCAATCAACGCATAGCGAGGTTCATAGGGGTAAAAGATTTGGTGATCATTCTGCTCTAATTGGTGGGCAAGTGGCAAGGGAGTTTTATGAGCATAAGAATGAAGACAAATTTAGTGATGCTGAACTTATGGAGAACCAGTATTCTCCCACTTCGAAGGTTGATGATGAGAGCGTTGAGTTTGATAATGACAAATCAGTTGATTCTAGGAGGGTTAATCTTGATTCTCCTCTTGGTTCACCTTGGAAACATAGGGAGGAGGCCTTATATTCAGGGTCTGATGGAGCAGAGAGCTCCTCTCCGGATGCTTCAATAGCTGATATTATGCCAATGCTTGATGAGCTCCATCCACTTTTAGATGAAGACAATCCTCAACTTGTCGGTTTGTCACATGATGTATCTCATGCCCATTCAGAAAGTTCTACCAAGTCCTCCGAGAGTGATGATGATGTTTCTGAAGACCAGGAAGAAGTAGAAGTTGCAGATGATGAAGAAGAAGAAGAAACACGAGATACAGAAGGTCTAAAGTCTGCTATTACATGGACGGAGGAGGATCAGAGAAATCTGATGGACTTGGGAACCTCCGAGCTAGAAAGGAATCAACGATTGGAGAGTCTTATTGCAAGGAGAAGATCACGAAAGAACATGAGTTTTACAGATGAAAAGAGTTTAATAGACTTGGTAACTGCTGATTTCATGCCTCCCATTTCAACAGCAAGACAGAACCCTTTTGATCTTCCTAATGATAACTATGGCCCTGGACTCCCTCCTATCCCTGGATCTGCTCCATCTATTTTGTTGCCAAGGTATAGGCGGAACCCATTTGATCTTCCTTATGACCCAAGTGAAGAAAAATCTGATTTTACAGGAGACACTTTCGAACAAGAGATTATCACATCTCAACCAAAAGAGACATTTTTTAGGAGGCATGAAAGTTTTAATGTTGGGCCCTCAATCTTTGGGTTGAACAAGAAAGATACACGTTTTAGACCTTATTTTGTTCCTGATATGATGGCTGCTGAAGGAACAAGTTATTCACCATTTCAAAGGCACCCCAACGATCTCAGTGATTCCAAAGTAAGTTCTGTTCTTGAAACAGAGTCACAGGGCTCAATTGAAGATCTTGAATACAAGAACCTCACTGAAGAAGATGTAGAAGACAAGAACCGAAATGAAGACAAAAACCTCACAGATGAACATATCTTCAAGGAGCCAGAGCTGATATCCAAGATAGAGCATGCTACCGAGGATATTGGGCATGGAAGCCAATCCTCCGAAGAAGTAGAATGTTTGATCCTAGGTGCATCTGATAAAAGAGATATTGAACTCGATGACACTGATCTAAATATGGAAAATCATCATGAAGTGGTACCAATTGTGTTCCATGAAGAAACAACAACCATTTCCATGGAACTTAATCCATCTAAAATTTGTTCAAAATCAGCAACTTCTGAACAAAAATGCAGTAGTCAGTCAAGTTCTTCGTCATCATCAGAAGTAGGTGAAAGGATCTTTCCTGACAAAGTAGTAGTGAGATTAAGTTCAGAGGAAGCGATGTGTCATGTTGAAACCATCTCTGAGAATAATGTGTCAGATCTGAACATCACAAGGAGTTCAGTGGAGGAGACTTCACATTTGGAACCTATTTATGATGCCAGTCCTCCTTCCATTAAGAAAAATACTTCTTCCTCCTCAATTGCTTCAGATATGCTTCTAGAATCTGCCCCTGAGATGGAAAATAATCAAGACACTGAGAAGTCCATTTCACAAATATTTTCATCAGCAGATTCCCAAGAATTAAGGCTGAGGGAGGCTATAACTGACAAAAATGAGCTTCATGTCGCAAAGTTGGAGATATCAAAACATGATGAAGTCTTTGGCAGTCCAAGTGCTCCTCCAGTGCTTGTAGCAGATAGTCAGGCATCTAGTGATTCGAAATCGCCTACAAAAGTAAGTAATTAGTAGTACTCCCTATTCAATACTATAAATTGCAAAAGCTTTTATCATGAAGAGAGTTATCATGCATATCCTTTTACAGATGAACAAAGTTATCATGCATATTCTTTAATCTATCTGGACTAAATTATACCAAGATCTTAGCTTTTATCAAGTTTTAATAAACCTTATTTAGCTTTTCTCTTTAAAATTGTTTCTTTATTTGAGATAATTGAAAATCAATTACTTAATCCAATTATGTTTAATTGCATATGATGATAAAAAACCAAACACTAAGTTGGATTTGAAGTGATGCAATATAGGCCAAAAAAATTGTTGGAAACAAATCATTTTTCAATTTAACCAAATATATTGTTGTCTAGATTATACATCTCACATTCTTTGAATCCCAACCTTACTATTCAAATTATGATTCTTTCCTTGCTCTCAAAGCTTTTGATGTTAGGGTTAAAAAATGAGAGTTATCAATATAGTTCAACTTGTGCTATTTATTTGGATCTTAAGTGAATCTAATTTTGATATACAGGAGGCACCTGTTTCAATGGAGAAAGAAAGGACCACAGAAAGCTTAAATATGTCAAAAGATCAAGAAGTTCCTCCTGAGTCTGTTCTTAAGCCATCTAATGCTAAGATGGCAACTGAAGAATCAGAGAGTTTGAAAAATATACCAATTCATAAGGTATCAAGTTTGAAAGACCATGAGATGGGACTACCAACTCTTGAACCAAGACCAACAAGAGACATTGATTTGATTAATAAGCAGACCCTTGAAGAGAATGTTAACAGACACGTCCTTCATGATTCAATTGATGGTGATGTGCATGTTAGAGAATCCAAAGGAAATGAAGCTTATCTACATTCACAGAATATGGGGACAGACTCAGCTATGAAACAAGTCATGAAAAATGATATAGATAAACCAAACACGAGCCTTCAACAACAATTAAAAACCGAATCAAGTCTCCAAAAAATTGTTGTATCTGAAAGAAGTGAAGCTGATGCAGGCAAAATAGATCAAGAAGATAAGGTAACTACCACCGAAAAGCCAAATCATGCAGTTGAGTTGCCTCAAGAGACAGGTGTAGTTTCTGGTGGTGTTATAGGCAAGAAAGAAAACCACACAATTCAGGCTCAAGTTCAAGTTCCAGTGACTTCAAAAGAAAATTGAAAGAACATGAGGTATCTTTTCTGAAACAATTTTTTTCTTTGTTAGTAGATGAATTAATTAATAGATGTTCAAGTTGGTCTCGTTCATGTTTAGGATATGGGTAGTTAGTATTCTTTTTTTTTTCTTACTTGGTTGTGCATTTGTCAGAGCGACGAGTGAACTGCTTATTCTTCAAGAATAACTTGTATTTGATTTCTTGAAGAATTTTTCTTAGCAGTTGTGGAGATAAACAATGTACTTTTGGCATGTAAAACTTGCTCCTTAGGTGTGTTCCTATGTAAAATAATATCGAGGCAGTTGTATTTTTTTTAACCTCCCCCTAGTTTCCTCTCTTTTACGCTTCTTCGATTTGATAGGTATGCAAATTTCATATAGGGGATAGACTATTTGGCTTCTTACTAATCCTTGTTGAACATAGAAATGGAAAGGAATATTCCACAGTATTTGAATTCAGGGACTTGCATATTTTGTTTAATTTGTGACCATTCATTGTATTACTTGAGCACTTGTACTTGAAAAACTTCTATTTTGAGCTAAAAGTCTATCAGAAACAACCTCCCTACCCCACAAAGTTATGGATAAGACCTGCATATATTCTACCCCACAAAGTTATGGGTGTAAAGGCTCTCACTGGAACTGAAACTCTATCTTGGTCACTTGCTCCCAAAGCCTAAATCTGTATTTTCAGTTGCTAGTGAAATTGTTGCTTGACACCGTCTACACCTATAGTGCCAAGGACTGATTGTCTATTGTCACCAAAATTGCCATATTTTCAACCCACAACATAAATACAAATATAAATCAAAATTAGCTAAAAGTAAAAAAAATGATTACTCTTTTAAATTATGATTTTATAGATTATAAGCATTTTAAGTTGACCAAACATAATTAACTAATTGTAATTTCTGAAATATTCTCCCTAAAACATAATTAATTAACTTGTTATTGTCTCTCTATTTTATATCCAAACCGAATCTTTTTTAAGAAATTATATATTATTTTCAATTTTAACTTCACCGAGTAAGGTCGCGATATCTCTAAACCCCTAAAATATAATAATGTGCAACGACCAATTAAAAGCACGTAATCAGACGGTCAACATAATCGTTTATCATGATGTAACCGATGTTGTGTGTGCATCGTTTCAATTTGTATGACATATTTAACTTGACACGAAATTTAGAAAAAAAATATGTTTGAATTTAGTAATATAAATGTACCAAAATGTATTTTAATATTGTGGTCTTAAACATGTTACTATAGGAAGTGCTAAATGGCCAGAAAATTTGGCCAGAAAAATGAAAAAACTATAATACTTTTTTTTATTTTAAAATAAACTGATCTTTTTTTCATTTTTTAGTTAAAAGGTACTAAAGTTAAAATGGTAAAAATGTTTAAAAAGGTAAAGTAACATAGATAAAATATCATTCTGGCCAAAAAGATTTTTCCTATATATATATATATATAATCTTTGATTTGTTTGAGCCGCGGGTTCTTGAGAACATCTTCTCTACCTCGAAAGGATAATGATAAAAACTACATACACTTTGTCTTTCCGAGATCCCACTTTATGAGATGTGATCTCAATCCCATTGGTTTACAAGTACCAAAGGGAATTTGATGCTCTCTCTTTTTGTTATTAATTAGTGGAGCAGTATGCATGTATATCTACCTATAAATTATTATATTAATTTGATCAAAGATTAAACATATTGCCCACAATCCCATTAAAATTTTCACTAATAATAAAAGTGTATAACTATAGTCTATATACAAAAGATAAGCGGCAGAGTTGTTGCAAAAAAAACAAAATGGAGTTCCCAATTTCCCATTAGCAGCTGATAATTCATTGTATCATGCCATAAATTAAACCTTTGCATTTATAATAGTGTAATTAGTCAAGGAAAAATTGGAAGGGTAATTAAACAATGGACATGGGTGACAAAGAGTCAAAGAGTTGATTTACACGTTTGAAATTAACTTTATTAGTATATTATATGTGCACTAATTTCAATGTAATTAAAACTTAAATTTAATGTAAATTTTGTCTGTTATATCAAACTATTTGACTCTTTTTTTTTATATATTATTATAGGAAAAGGCGTGGTTTTAGTTAAATATTCTTTTGGTTTGTACGTGAAGATTATTTTACATGGTCAATCAATAAAAAATACTATATAAGATATCAAAAAATAGTATTCCCTTGTTTTTTATGTGATATAAGGGAGTTTATTATAAATTCTTATTTTCATATCTGTCACATACTGAATTACGTTACCCAACCTACACTCCAAATATTTTTATATTTATCATGCTCAATATGAATCCTTAATTAGTTAATCATAACTACGAATAAAATATAATAAAAAAATACTTTTTTGACTATTAACATATTAAATGTATCACATGAAATAAAATAGAGAAAAAAATATATTTTTTATATTTATAAACTTTAAATTATGAATCCAGCTCGCCTAAAGTAATATGGTATTTGGAGAGAGGTGTCATTAATTACATAATCGTTGCGCCGCTAATTATGATAATGTTTGGCCGACGTGAACTTGCCACTATTTGATGCCTTTTTGTAGTTCCATTCATCTACTTTGATGGGCCCTCTCCCAATTGAAATAGCAAGAAAAGAAAATTAAAGTTCTACTAATTAGACTAGTAATTTATAATAATAATATTATTAAAATTGAAATTTGCTGTGATTTGCAATAATTGATTTTAGCTAAATATGATAGATCTATAGGTTTGGGCATCGAACCTTAAGCCAAGATCTAACAAAGCGAATTAAAATATCAAGTTGAGTTGAATTCAGATGAAATTGAAAGCGAATTAAATTTACTAATTTATATTTTTAAATTTTCTAATTGCACTCAGATGGAATTGAATTACAAACATTGTTAGTTTAAATTTAAATTAAGAATCCAAGTTCAAACAAGATTAACTTAATGATGAACATATAATAGAACAGTCGAGCGAAAAAAAAAAAGAAGAATTAAAAAAAAATGTAAAATATTAAACTTTTTAAAATTTTGGAATTCTTAAAATTAAAATGTTAATTTTATTCCGTTGCACCCATAAAGTAGTATTAATTAATGCTGTGTATTAAAGTTACATTAAATTAATTAAATAAGTAAACAAATAAAAATTATTTAAAAAATATTACTGTATTTATTCAGAAACAGAGTTTAATTTATTTAATAAAATGGCCGATGGCTAAAATTTTTTTTTTTTTTAAAAAAAAAAAGTTCAATGGATGAAATTTACATTTTTCAAAATGAACATTCATTCATTTCTTTCTTTTTCGTCGACTATGACAACTGAAACGATATGAAAAATCATGTTTTGTAAAGTTGAAGGGTCGGTGGGGGCTATTTTGAAAAGTCAGACTGATCAAATGTCTTCATTCAAGCAATAGTACATAAAAAGAATGAAACGAAGTGAGAGATCAACGGATAAGAAAAAAAGTCGAGTCGATCAGGCTTGATGGTAGTAAAAAACAAAATAATATTAGAATTTAATCTTAAAAGAAACAATATTACGTATACAATGACTGATCAAATGACTAGAGTAGCTCAACTTGAGTTGAACTGAGTTGGTTCAATTAAACTCGAGTTTTAACCAAGTTGAGCTGAGCTGAGCCAAACTCTAACCAAAGCCAAGTGAGTCAAGCTAAAATATAGCCTTACTGATCAATCCTCAGCTTGTTGATCAGCTCATCGATCATAAAAACACATAATTTGTAAACAATTAATACCTAACCACATGCTATTTTCTTGTTTATTTTTACTTATCTACTATGTTAAAAATAGATTTTTATTTTATCAATTAATATAATAATTATTTCTTCTAATTTACTTAAAACATTAATTACTCCTTCAAAATTCATAAAATCTCTTTCAAAACTATATGTGAAGTCTTGAAAGTTATCCAAAATAGATCACTATATGAAGGTATCAACCAATTGGTTCGATTTCAGCTAAAATTGGTAAACCTTATTCACACTCACTAAATCCTTTTATGTATCACATACTTTCACGTTCTCATTTCATTGTTAGGATAAGTTTTTGTACAATCTTTAAGAAGAAAAAAAATAATTCGAAGAAATAATTAATCATTTCAAATTCATTAAAAACCATACATCAATTAATATTAGTATCATGATTAAATATGCATTTAATTTATTTTCTAAACAACTATTCAAAGTTCATTATAAACAAGTAAAAGTGATCGAAGAAAATACTTATAAAGACTTAAATTCATCAAATCTCTTTCAAAACTATGCAAAATGAGTCATTCACATTCACTAAACTTTTCTTTTGTATCACATACTCCCACAGTTCTCATTTCATTGTCAGCACAAGATTGTATACAATTTATTTTTATTTTTTAAAAATAATTAGAATTGTAATTACTTATTTCAAATCCATTAAAAATTATGAATTAATAAATATAAGTATCATGATAAAATATTTTATTATTTTAAAAAATATATATATGCAAAGTTCATTATGAATAAGTAAAAGTAAATAGGAGCTAGAAGATATTTATAACGATTTAAATTCATCAATTCTCTTTCAAACGATACAAAATTGGACGTGAAGTCTTGAAAGTTATCAAAAATAGATTACGTGTGAAGTTATCCCCCAATTTCTGTATTACATACTCCCAAGTCCCACCATTCTCATTTCATTGTCACAATTTCATACAATTTTTAAGAAGATTTTAATTAAAAGAGTAATTTGATTAATATATCTTCTATTAATTAATCTTTAATTTTTATCTATTTATACGCGCATCTTAATTTTAACATAATTAATACAAAGAACAATTTTTTTTAAAAAATAATTACTTTTCTCTTAATTTTTTAAATTAACAAGTATCCAAAAATACAACTAAATGGAAACGGAAGAACTATATGAACTCAGGCTGATATCACAAATATTTCAAGTCAATTTTTCTTCCATTACTGCTTTAACTTATTGTTTAGTCCTTCCAAAATTTAAGCTGTCCATTCATAGCAAAGAAAAAAAAAATAGACAAAACAAAAGTCATTTTTACACCTCTTTAAAACGTGGTAAATCGAAATGCATTATTATTTAGGGCCAATTTTTTGGTAGATAAAAAGCACAATCAATATGAATACTTAGCAATAAGGGTTTTCAATTGGGGACTATATGGTAGTTAAAAGGTCTATTTCCCAAATTTAATTATTTCCACATAAAGGGTAATAAATAAAGTAGCAAATCATTTTCCAAGTAAGTGTACTACTAACGTGGTATACTAGTCTAACTAAAATTTCATATGTCCATACTT